AGGAACATAGAACCATAACACCTCTATCAGCTGATCCAACAGGAACATAGAACCATAACACCTCGATCAGCTGATCCAACAGGAACATAGAACCATAACACCTCCATCAACTGATCCAACAGGAACATAGAACCATAACACCTCTATCAGCTGATCCAACAGGAACATAGAACCATAACACCTCTATCAGCTGATCCAACAGGAACATAGAACCATAACACCTCTATCAGCTGATCCAACAGGAACATAGAACCATAACACCTCTATCAGCTGATCCAACAGGAACATAGAACCATAACACCTCTATCAGCTGATCCAACAGGAACATAGAACCATAACACCTCTATCAGCTGATCCAACAGGAACATAGAACCATAACACCTCTATCAGCTGATCCAACAGGAACATAGAACCATAACACCTCTATCAGCTGATCCAACAGGAACATAGAACCATAACACCTCTATCAGCTGATCCAACAGGAACATAGAACCATAACACCTCCATCAACTGATCCAACAGGAACATAGAACCATAACACCTCTATCAGCTGATCCAACAGGAACATAGAACCATAACACCTCTATCAGCTGATCCAACAGGAACATAGAACCATAACACCTCTATCAGCTGATCCAACAGGAACATAGAACCATAACACCTCTATCAGCTGATCCAACAGGAACATAGAACCATAACACCTCTATCAGCTGATCCAACAGGAACATAGAACCATAACACCTCTATCAGCTGATCCAACAGGAACATAGAACCAGGAGCAGGGAGACAGAACACAAAGTTATGGGCCTTGGAAAATATTTCCCCAACATTTATAACAGTTTGAGAAGAAGCATGTCAAGAGAAGGGTGTGTGTAGCAGAACCACGTGGCCATTCATAAAACAGTGTGTTTATGGGTTCTATGTTCCTGTTGGATCAGCTGATAATCTACCTCCATCTCCGACTGGAACCTGGACACGTGTGCCTTTGCTTCAGAGAAGGAGTGAGTGGTGTTTACCTATCTTGGCTCCCTTCCTGAGCAGAGCGATGACGGCTGAGGTGTTCCTGCAGCCGACGGCTCGGTCCAGAGGTCTCATCCCGCTGCAGTCCACGTGCTCCACGGAGGCGCCGTGGTCCACCAGCAGCTGCACCTGGAACACAGCAGGAGGGGGGAGCAGGTGGTAAACAACCAGGTGGTTTGAGGTCAGCTTTTTATTAGCAGCATCCCCTTTCAACTGGTCTTTTAATCTACATTATTTATTTATGCTTATATTGATTTGTATATATATATATATTTGTGTGTGTAATATCAATTCTGCTCCTCACCACTTCCGGGTCTCCACGAAACGCAGCGAGGTCCAGAGGCGTGCGTCCGCTGCGGTCTGCGTGACTGGTGGCGGCGCCTCGACCCACGAGCAATCTGACCAATGAGAGACGACCTTTCAGACACGCCCAGCTGAGCGGAGTCAGACCCTCTCGGTCCGCCTGGTCCAGAGACGCTCCTAACAACAGAGACACATCAGCGTTAGAACAGAGGTGCAGGAATGAGTCCTAAAACCTGACTCAGCATTTCACCACCTCCTGTCTGTCTGAAGGTGTTATGGTTTGTTGAATGTTTTCATCAGAATTTAGCTTTTTTCTCAGAATTTCAGGATCTGACAAAGTTTTCTCAAAATTTTACTATTTTCTTTTTGAATTTTACTTTTTTCTCGGATTCTTACCTTTTCTCAGAATTTCAGAATCTGACAATTTTTCTCAGAATTTCAGAATCTGACAATTTTTCTCAGAATTTTAGAATCTGACAATTTTTCTCAGAATTTTACTCTTTTCTTTTTAGAATTTTACTTTTTTCTCAGATTCTTACCTTTTTCTCAGAATTTCAGAATCTGACAATTTTTCTCAGAATTTCAGAATTCTATATATTTTTTCAGAATCTCAGAATTTTACTTTTTTTCTCAGAATTTCAGAATGAGGTGACATGTTGTTACCCTGATCCAGGAGCAGCTGGGCGGTGTCTTCGTGCCCCTCGGAGGCGGCCGCCATCAGAGGAGTTCGACCCTGCTGATCCACAGAGTTCACCTCCACCCCCCGACTCAGCAGCAGCTCCACCACCTGACAGACAGACAGGTGTTCACTGTGTGTGTGTGTGTGTGTGTGTGTGTGTGTGTGTGTGTGTGTGTGTGTGTGTGTACCTGTCTGTCTCCTCTCCTCACAGCGCTGAACAGAGGTTTCTCCCCCCTCTTGTT